CCGTAGAGTATCAATACCTTCTAGTTTATTTTGAACGCCTATCTGCTGAATATAATATCGCGAGAATACTGAAAAAATAGACAATTGATTAACCTAACAAGCCGGCCTAGAAGCCCCCTTAGGAGGCTTTAACAAAACTGCAGCATCATATTACTTCTGATGTTTGACCAGGCTATCCTTTAATAAGAAAATACTTGAGTGTCATTGTCCATGTTAACGGCATCACAGTTTGTTAAACAGATTTCATCATCTGTCAGCACTGGATATGATATATATACAGTTTGACAGTATCACAAGGTGCATGATGATACACCACATTGTTCAGAAGTAGCTCGCGAGTCGCGTAAATGCATGGACACTCGTTCCCTACCTGGTTTGCTCGACATGGCGCAAGCTTTAACATGCCAGTGCACTCGGTTTTGGTTTACGTGCGGGATGGCCGCAAAGCACCGATAGTGTCTTCTTGTGTCCATTCCAAGAACCGCGAGATGGAATATAAATGGCATGTGTGCGAGAGAGAGAGAAGGAGAGTTAGTTCCTTAATATTGATGTAGAAACTACCATCGTCAAAGTGAAAGTCCAGTTTGATGGTGTGATGAGAGAGCATGAATGCGTGCGTGAATGTGTTGTGCGGCGCCATTGGTGATGCGGTGGTGTGCAATGAAGATCGATGGAGGTGAGAGTGGATGGAGTACTAGAAAGTATTAGTGTGTTACGTTGCGTTGCTATTGGTGTTGATGGCGTCTGCGTGTGTGGCAGTGCGTACGTGCGTGTGTGCTGTGTGGTTAAAATCGTGTGAGTTGATACGTTGTGGTATAGTCGACTCCGCAAATTGTGAAGTCGTCCAGCGTCCGAGTAGTCATGGACGTGTGTCCGCGTGTGCGTGGCGCGGAGTGAACGTAGTGCTGTCGCTCTTAGTGCGTAGTGCTCGCTTGACGTCTGCGTCACTGTCCTGTGTTGTGTTCAGGCCCAATATGTATTTCTGCACCGAGTAACTCATGATGGCACCGTCAAAAGCGAAGCCACAAGCTCTTACGCGTGCTGGGCTAGTTGTTCTCGCCTTTTCATATACTACACTTGACGCCTTACTTCACGCCTTACTTGAAATCTAAAACCTCTGTTTTGCATGCGCCAATTCCTAATAATACCACCTATGTCCTGTCCTTAGCTACACCCAATAAACCTCCATCTACCCCTCCGCGAACCTGCAGTAGAGCGTAGCAACGTATATACATTCCTAGGCTTCCTATCTCAATATTCCACAGTACTTTGACGAATCATCTATCATCTCTATATATACCTATCCCCACTCTTAATATAGTTATGTAACATGAGTAAAAGCTGAGAGAGGAGCGTCAAGAGAGTGAATTGAGCCAAGTGAGGCAAGCAACGTGCAAAGGAGTTACACAGTAGTGGATGAGAGCAGGAAACGAGAGAGATGGTCATTTAACCTTGGTAAACAGAGAGAGAGAGCTGAGAGAGTGGACGGAACACAATGTAGGAGCGTTAAAAATGAGGCAAGGTCCCAATTGCTGCGTTACATTGCATTTATCGAGAAGTTTTCATTAGAGTTGACGAGCAAACATCCAGCGAGAGCCTCATAGGATAAATTACACATGTTATAGTTTTCTTCGTCTTGTAGCGAGAGACACGTGTAAACAAATTATAGTTAGAGTAATAAATGGTAAAAAGATATGTCGCAATTGCTATACAAAACCTAATGCTTTAGTAGTGTGTGTTACCTAGCATGAAAACATTCGAGGAGATTAGATTGGTTAAATGAGAGGACAGACTTATGAGCTATTAAACAAGCCGAGCGAGCAGAGGGAACGACCGAACTGAATTGTGCATGTCTCAGCACGAAAACTGGAGAGAAATACATTCAGTAAAGACGTTCTAAGACACTAAAATCCGTTATATTGTAGAATGAATATTATCCACGTGATAGTAAAAGTACAGACGAGAGGTATATAAACGGAAGAGTTAGAAGCTTGAAAATGTAACTTCCTAAATATAGCAACATATAACATAATTACTTCAAATCTAAACACTTTAAGAACCATTTCATTTAATAACAATTAAATTCAACCGGATCAAATTGTGAGTATAACATATGTATTCTGAAAGAAACAAAATAGGAGAGTATGCATCTGTTATAAATGCAAATTCCCTTCACCTTGCATTCACTAAACAGTCCTTGTGACTTGTTAGTATTCATTAACATCAGTACTGGCAACGACATAAGACAGATCGGATGTATGCTCAAACACATATGAAATCAAACGTCACACCTCAAATAATTCCAAAGTCAAGCCCAAGGATATATAATAACAAATCAGATAATATCCAAAAAGCAAAATCATTTAATTGCATAAACTCGACACAAAACTGAATGAGCTCAACTATCAAAGTCTCAATTCCGAGTTATACGATGATCCACACCAAGATTCTACATTAACTATAAATAGGTATAAAATTGAATTATATCACAAGCCAATAATTTTTAAACATCCTTATGGCGCGCGCGCGTGTGCGTGTGCGCGTGCGCGTGCGCGTGTGCGTGTGCGTGTGCGTGTGCGTGTGCGTGTGCGTGTGCGCGTACGTGTTGTTGTGTAGGCAAATGATTGAGAATATTGTGGATGCAAACGGTAGACGGAGCTATTACGCGTGCGTGGTGCTAGTTGTTTCTCTTTCATAACTATCACTTGACGCCTCTTCAGAGTTACTTGAAATCAAAACTTGCTGCATGGTACATTTAATTAATACACTTGTTGGCCTAGTAACAATACAAGCTGCTAACGGAGTAAACCTAAAGTAATACCTTCCTAGGGGTTCCACTCAATATCACATATTGTACGCATATGTATATATATATATATATATATAAAGAATCAAATGAAAACACGTGCAAAGTTACCGCGTAAATAGGAAGTTTCCCGCGTTAATTGATTACAAAGAAATGCGTCTGCGTTTTTCTCTTATAATAAAATTAATTCTTGTTAGCAAACACGTTAAGAATGTAGTTAGAATAGTAAAAAATTGCCAATTATCACCTGCTTAGTAGTTGTGTACCTGGCATGATAACAGCGTAGAATAATTGGTTAAATAATGACACTAATACATGAGAGCCGAGAGGCGAGAGAACGACCGAACTGAATTTGTGCTGTTTCAGACGAAAACTGGAGAGAAATAGTCATAGAGGTGACTTCTTAAAACTAAAACTCTATATTACATGAATTTATCCACGTGATAGTAAAATAATGTAGTATAAAGGAATAGTAAACTGAAATGTAACTTTTAGCAAATACATATTCAATCTAAAATGTATTCATTTAATAATAACAATTAAATTTTAACGATTTTTTGAAACAATATAAGAAAATAATGGAATATTTGTTATATCTTCACTGTCATGTCTTGTGTTGTAGGTATTTCAGATTATGACGAATAAACAGATCGATGTATGCTCTCAGATTGTCAGCGTCATCTAATTCCTGGTACCAGAGTGAGTATATATGATAACAAAATCAGATTAATAGAAAAAGCAATCATTTAATTGCATAAACTGAACACAAACTGAATGAGCAAATCAAGTTCAATCTCAGTAAGTGCCCAAAGATTTATCTAATATAAAAATTATATCACGCATAATTTTAAACATCTTATGATAGCCATATCAATATTATTTACTCTACATAATTCTTCTTCGCAACAGTAACTTCTACAGCATTCTATACACTATACAGTGTTAACTGCCTCTTGTGAAGGTGGTCTTATCACTGCACCCCATCGCACCGCGTCAAGTCACCTATCAACTTAGCTCTAGTACTATAGCCCGCGTACAGTGACTGCCGCAGGCACTGCAGGGCCTGCGGCAGCCACTGTACGCGGGCTATAGTACTAGAGCTACTATCAACTGCGCTTCAACCGCACACATCACCGTCGCAACAGCGGCTAGCCACATCCAACATTGCCGTCCGCACATATGTAGCTACCAAGCAGATCTATCTCTCTCTCTCTCTCTCTCGCTTCTCTCCTCTCTGTCTCTCTCTCTCTCTCTCTTCGCTCTCTCCCACTCGCTCGCTCTCTTCCCATCCCCTTTCTTCCTCGTCCCGCCGATACCGATATCTTCTTCCGCGCCGCGCCCCCTCTCTCTTTCGCTCTCTTGTCCCTCCTCCTTCTCTCTCATCTTCTCTTTCTCTTCTTGCCTCTCTCTTTCCCCCTCCGCTTACGTCTCATCCTCTTCTTCTCTCTTCGCTTCTCTTCTGCCTCTCTCTTCCCCTTCCCTCACCTCTCTCGTCTCTCTTTCTCTTCTACTCTTCTCTCTTCTATCCCCTTCCTCCATCTCTCTTTTCTTTCTTTCTCTCTTCTCTCTCGCTCTCTTCTCTCTCTTGCTCTCTCTCGTCCCCCTTCCAAGCCACTCTCTCGCGTTCTCTTTCTATTTGCCTCTCTCTCTCCCTCTCTCTCTCTCTCTCTCTTCTGTTCCTTATCTCTCTCTCCTCCCCTTCCCCTCGGTGTGGTTTCCTCCCCTCGTCTGCTCGGCTACGCGATATGGTCTCGTTGCCGACGTGGGCTCGTGCGCAACCTCTTGATGTAGACGTCTGATCGCAGGCTGCTCTTAGGGCGTCGCATGCGCGCAGCAGCAGCCGCTGGGTCGCGCAGAGCGCGTCGCTCTGGTGTGTTCTATAAGCGCCAGCGCGGTGGGCCAGTTGATTACGATGTCGTCGCTATGCGTCGATGATGCGCCGCGGTCAGGGGGCCTAGTCGCGACGCGCGTGACAGCGCAGTAGAGGCAGGCGCGCAGGCCCGTCGTCGTCGGATCACCGTCCGCGATCGCTCGACGGTTCTTGTCGAGGTATTTGCGGTATGGCGTCCTCGCCGGCCGGGAGGGGGAGACGGAAGAGGGGAGGGGGAGGAGTGGGAGGTAGGTTTGGTCAGGCGTTTCAGATCGACCGTCTCGAACAGCGTGAACGGGTTAGTGAACGTTGTCGAGCGGCGCGTCAACGCGTGTTGAGTCGAGTTTGCGTGTACGTCTGCGAAGTGACAACAACAACGTCACGTATTTCAAGTGTTTGATATTATCATGTTTAGCAAATTTTGATACTGTATGTTATTTACATATATTAGTATACTATTATATTATATTATATATATATATATATACACATATAAATCGGTAGTAAATAATCTCAAAGGAGTTTGATGCGTATTTTCCTGGGGTTTAGCCGATTTTGGCATAAATAAACCCAAAAATGTTTCATACCTTTATTATCATTCGCCTATAGTATACTAAAATAGGTTTATAGCCATTTACTGTCGTATTGCTGTAAATTGTTTTTAAACATTTGAGATTATTTGCTACTGATATATGTGTGGGCATATATATATGTAAATATATATATATATATGCGAGGCTAGGGTCAAAAACTACGGGATGTGGTTCCATTGGGTCAGCCTCCAGAGCTTTGGTTTAAGAGTTTATCCCATGTTGGTAATGCGTATGTTTAGCAAAGAACAATTACTGCACTTTCAACTTATGTTAGTCTCATCGATATCTTCTGTTACAGCATGTTATATATGAATGTAGTGAAAATGTAGCAGTATGCCATGCTCACACCATATGATGAACAGCAGTAGGAATATGATCCATACAAGACAATATGAGACAATATTATGCTATATCAAAATAACCAGATATAACACCAGAACAAAATAAATGCATTACACAAAGTACATCCTACCCGATGATTTTTAAACTGACAAGAGCTTTTTTTCAGTTGGAAAACGTGTTTTTCGTTATTGGGTGTGTTAATATTTCTGGGGGGAGTTACCTCCAGGCCATGCGCCGACGGGGAAAAATCAGTCTAGAAAATGACTTTCGTTTGACACTTCATGGAACCAAGTTTAAATCTGGGTATACGTTTAAAAGTACATTACAATATATTATTAATTACACAGTGGCTACACGTCCGGTCATCCATTACAAAGCTCAGCACAGATTCCCAAGTCCACGTCAGGATTAGGCCCCGCCCCCTTTCAAATCGTTGATTTTACTGGATTTACTACTGCTTCAAAAGTTACAAAAACACATTTTTTCGATAAAATACCTAGAGGAAAGTAATATTATGGTAAAAACTTATTGTTTATTATTTTTTACTGAAAAAAATATAGTTGGGTTCACATAAGAAACATATGACCGGACGCATAGCCTGGGAGCTGCGCGTCTGGTAACCGGATGCGTAGCTACGGCTTATTAATTATCAGATCTGTATTATCAATTGTTTGCCATCCGCTGTCTGCGTGAAATACCTGATACTGATTGATGTAGGGTGCCACCTTCAGGCCAAGGGTGCATTCATCGTCCAACACCTTGCAGTCTTTTTGCAAGCTCAGCGAATCAATGAGAATGCCATAAACTGAGAGGGAATGTGGCAGCACCGTTCCAGCTGGTTTCAAGCTACATGCCCTACAGAACATAAGACTTTCAAAATCTCACTAGAGAAATTAGCCCAAGACTATACTATACTATACAAGACTATACTAGGCGAGACCTACAGGGTCTATTGATGCCAGGTCCTTTAATACAGGTCTTTTGATGTATGATGGTTTCTTGGAGCTGGACAGAATTACTTGCAACAGAAGGAAGTTGTACTACCCTTAAAATTGGCAATCTATTATGTTCTCTCGTTAGTAGACGTTGTGATTGGCACATTTGACACATGTTAGTGAAACTTTGTTATCATTATTATAATAATTATTATTATTATTATTATCATTGTTGTTGTGGTTATACTGGTTTACTGTACTATATATTATCTTTATTACTATCACTGTTACATCAGGTATCTGTGCTGTGTGTTGTTATTGTTACGATATCAGTCATATGTACTACGCATTAATATTATCCTCATTATATAAGTCAACCTTACTCTACGCTGGCAATCAACGCCAGGGTAAAAAATACACGGGAGCGATAAGCGATTCGCTCGTCAAACCTCGGAAATCGCTCCCGTGAGGCTCAAAATAGCTCCCGTAAAATTTTTGACGAGCGCTACTTTTCCACAGACTTGAAAAAGAGCTCCCGTGAAAAAAAAAGTAATTTTTTCCCTGATCTACGCGCAGTAGTAATGACACGTAATAGCAGTAGCAGTAGGTGAAGTCTACGCAGCTTACCTTGCGAAGGCGACGTTCTCCAGCACACGCTGCTGCAGCACGCCGGACGCCTCCACGGGATCGACGAGCACCGCGTCCCAGCCTCCGCCGCACTCCTCCAGCCGATCGACGAAGCGCACGCGCGCCGCCGCGATGCCGTTGCTGCGGGCGACGGCGCGCAGCGCGGCGGCGTCGCGCGCAGTCTGGCCGACGTATGCGACGGCGGCTCCGAGCTTCGCGGCGTGGAGGCCGAGCAGGGAGAAGTGTCCGCTCAGGTCGATGACGGCGACGGTGGCGGAGGCGCGGCCCGCGCACAGACGCGTCACGGCGCGCAGGTACTCGTGCGACGCGCGCGCGTCGTTCAGCCGGCTCACGACGTTCTCGCCGACGTAGTGCGTCCACGTCGCGCGGCGGTGCTCGCGAGGCGGTGATCGGTCCTCACCGGGATTCCCCGGCAAATATGGCGCACAGTCGTCACGATTTCCCGTGGGAGACGGCGAGCGATCTTCGTCGAGATCTGCCCGAGTTGGCGATAGGTCCTCGCGGCACGTTGCCGTGGGAGACGGCGAGCGGTCGTTGCCGTACATTGCCAGGGCAGATGGTAAGCGTTCGTCGCCACTCGTTGCTGAGGGCATCGGCGATCGGTTTTCATCGCAATTAACTGGGGAAGTTAGTGACCGGTTATAACTCGGGTTTCTCTGGGAAGTTTGCGATCGGTCTTTGTCTGAATTCGCTGAAGAGGTTAGCAACCGGCAATCACTGGGGTTTCTTGGACAAGTTATCGATTGATTTCCGTTGGAATTCCCTGGTGAGGCTAGCACCCGGCTTTCACTGGATTTTCTCAGGGAAGTCAGCGATCGACTTTCACGAGGCGAAGCTGTGGAAATCAACGCTTGACTGTATCTGGACTCCGCTGGCGAAAACAACGACCGGTCATCATCGAAACCTGCCGGAAAAGTTAACGACCGCCCATCGCCGGGCCGTGCTGCGAGCGACCGGTCTCCGCATGTGCCGTACGAGGCGTCGTCTTCGACGCGCCGCATCGTGCCGTCGGGCGCTTCGCCGAGACGCGCGGCGCAGTTCGCGCTCGTCGAACGCGAGAAGGAGAACGTGCCGCGGGATGCCGCCGCCGCGTCCGTCGCGAGATTATCTAGCTGCAGTCCGTTGGCTTTGGCGCAGAGGTCGTGTTTATCGATGCCGCACGCCGACGAGTTCTCGGAACTCGTCCGCTCACCCCTGTCGGTCCTCGCGACCGCCGCGTCGTCGAACGCGGAGGACGAATCGACGAGACTGCCGTCCAAGCACGACGCGTCCGATTCGCCGCAGCCAAACCCGTTCGTCGATGGTCCACAGCGACGATCGCTTACCGCCGCCGAGGTCACGTAGAGGTCGCCACCCTCTACGATGTCGCTTCCGTCTATGACGTCGCCACCGGATCTCGTGGCTCCGCTCGCCGTGTCGTGCTCGACCGAGGATTCTCGTAGGGGGCGCTGCGCGTCCTCCTCCGCCCACATGGCGGTGCTGACGCTAAGCTGGCTGCTGAGGTTCGTACAGGTGAACGAGGCGCTATCGGCAGATGTGCGCACCTCCACCAGACAGGTGTCGCCGGCGTCCAGCATCGACGTACAATCTGTGCAGGTGGCAGCACAATCGGCGTAAGATACGACGCGTCTACGACCGCCCTTTCCGCGTTATATGCGAGCGAGTGGTGATTAGCGAGGTCATACAGACATACACAACACTGCGTAAACTAAAACACAATAAGCTGCTGCTGCTGCTCCATAGTCAGGTTTCTCATTTCAGGTGTGTTAATTAATATTTGTTAATTCTTTTTTGGCATTAAAATTTAAAATTAAGTAACTTTCATTTCTAGCCAAAGTTCACCCTTCATCTTTTCATTCAAAAAATCACTGGAAAGGTAATCAGTGTGGCAAGTAAATATTCGTGATGCAATCAATAACAGCCATAGGTAATTATAAATAAATAATACAGCCAATGGCAGCCAAGCACTTTCCCTAATGTGTCCGTGTGTTTCCTACACGAGTCAACAGCTTGCATCATTATTGTACCTAGTGGAAAAACGGCCTGCTCCCAACATGTCTCTCTATCTGGCGACGTGTGTACTACGTTCTCTGTATCAACCACCAGGTCAAACCACATCGCGATTGCATCAAGCCTCCCGGAGCGCACCACTGGCACTCGCACTGTTTTTCGGACGCCCGCAATCCAATTCTTGATCACCTAATTTAACATAAACAATGTGTCAACTAATCACGCGTATATACAGCCAAACTTCGTTTCCCTGCTCACGAGAGGGCCACCTCCACCTAAACCAGATGCCGTGAGAAAACGTCCGCAGTATCTCAGCGCACAATCAATCATGCGACGACGTTCGACCATCCTTAGAATCGACTGTCAATCTCTGACACGACGACCGACTAACGGCAAACCAAGCGCTCGCACATGACAAAAGAACACGACTCTGCGGTAACGACTACGAATTGATGCTCATAACTACAACTAGTGTACAAAACCAAAGTATTAGCATGCCTTTTAAGTCATATGAGATCAATAACGCAGTGGTTACTGGAAACTTACTGCCTGATATATTTCTCTTGAAATTTATGTTAAAAGATTAACGATAAAGCAATTGTTAAGAAACTAAATTAACATTGCGGGGCGTGCGCAAGCGCCTATCGTAGAGTCACGTTCTTTTGTCGCGTACGAGCTCTCGCCTTGTCATTCGCGACTGACGCGTTCGCAGCGGACGCGGGGGAATGCCTTGCCTGCGGGTTGTTGAAGTCGACGTCGATGCATCGCGTGGGCTTTGATAGCCGCGAGTAGCCGCCGCGCATGGCCGCGAGACGTTCGGACGTGTAGCGCCCGCTCCGTAACTCCTCACTGCACAGCCGCGCGCAGCTCAGGTCCAGTGTGCCGAACGACGATCCCCAGTACCTGCACGGGAAATACAGTACACAATCTTTTAATCCGAAAACCGAAAGTTTTTTCGTCGAGGTCGTCTGAACACCAAAGCTCGCGTTTGGCTGCACAAGGTTCACTGAAAAAATATGAATGTGTTTGACATTACTCATACATATTGTACTGTACCGGTATAGCACTTGGCCTCTTAAAAACTTGGGTTTTAGTACTGGCTAGTTGCAGGATATACGATATGTATTACCTGCACTGTACTACCATTCTGAAATCCGAAAAATTCCGAATTCCAAGACGTGTCTGGTCTCAAGAGTTTCGGATAATAGATTGTGGACTGTACTTGCTACTTTTGTACTTTTGCAATCACTGATTTGATGCATTTTTTGACGAACTGCAATACCTGCGACAACAGCGTGTGTAAGACGAGCTAGCGCGTGAAGCCTCGGTACTTTGGTAATCGCCGATCGAGCGATTAACATGAATGTCATCATGCGCTCGATTTTTATTGTAATGCGTGTGAGTACGAATTGATGCACATAACTACAACTAGTGTATGAATTTGAAACCATAGAACTACCCTGACTTTTAATTTATGCAAGAATAATAAAGCCGTGGTTACTGGAAATGTATTGTGTGATATATTTCTATCGAAATTTATGTTAAAAGGTCAACGATAAAGTAATTGTAAAGAAACCGAATTAACATTGTTAAGATGTCTGTAGTAGTCTAGTTAATAGATATTATTGTCACTAATTATCCCTAGCATTAATATTGGCCAATCTGGGCATCGTGCAAGTAATTATTTTTACATAATCTTTCTATAAACATTTAATCACCTGGTCTTGATCTTTATTTCATCACATTCAATCAGGCATATGAACAGCACTGCTCCTTGTGGAATGACACGCCCTCTACCAGCTGGCATAAGAAGCTTGTCCCATGCATGCTCAAGTGTTGTCAAAATGCCTTCACCGAGCAGGCCGCTGTCAACGGTTTCTGTGACAACCAAAGAAACTCTGAAATGTCAAGATTAAATGGGTGTAAAAGAACTGCTGGAAACTCACTTAGAAATTCATATCAATGAATGTGTAACTGTTATTACCATGCATTTATATAAAATCAAAGTGCTGTGCACATATTATTTTATATCAAAATGTGATAATTGATGAAAGTGTGATATGCAGTGTCATGACAGGGTTTACAACCACAAGCAAATACAAGCAGTGCAATACAGGAGCTTACATCAGCAGCAAAACTGTGGGTTACTCTACCATGTGCAAAAGCTGCCTAAAATACACATCAAATAATTCAGACAGCATTCACTTCACCAACTGATTATTTATCATAGATTGGCCATTCATCTACAAGAAATTACTGTGAAGTGCCCTCTGTTACCACATACTGTGTACCTCTCAGCGATATCTTCAGGGACCAACATGCATGTCGACTTTTCACACTTTAGCATTACTGCATCAGACATGGAATTTGCCTGCAGTGCTTTAGCGGCAATAGCATGCATAGTTGGTGACATCTCACAGGCATAAACTGTCCGTGCCCCTGCTTGCACTGCAAACATACTGGAATATCGAAACATTATACACATATTAGTAATAACAAATTATGTGCGCAGGCAAACGATGAATGCCACTCTCGCATCCCTCCAAAAAATAGTAAGACGTTTGATGCGGTACATAAATGAAAGTGTCAATGACATTGTAGCTCACCACAAAAAAGGACACATATGAGTGAGTTAAGTGAGAAGAAGTCAGTTTTAATTGAGCAACCATCAACGTACATTATAGAAATGAAGAGTATATATGGGAGAACTCCCATTATATACTCTTGATAATTATGTGTAATTTTTTATGTGAAAATAATAAATAATATTATATATAAATTATAAATAATTTATAAACCAAATGAATCACAATTTGTGACGATAGATGGCGCTATACCCACCTTGATGTTTCTTAGTATAAATCATTATATCATAATTATAATAATATAATAATAATAGTATAAATCATAATATGTTCATAGCAGGAATTTTGCATTCAAGATATTGTCAATGAAATCTTGTAAAACGAACCAGACGAGTGTGACACCACAGACTGTTTGTTACCTGCGTGTCTATATAATATGCTATATAATTGCCAAATCCTACCTAATTTATATAATTTTTTTTTAAATATAAAAATCCCTAGCCCTTATTCATTCTCATATCAAAAATGAGCAAAATCCGTTAAACCTGAACTGACTAATGGCAATTCCCATTTTTGCCAAAAAATTGCCGTGGCTCGAAAGTACTTCGACTGGCGTGCTCCAAAATAGGACGTTTAATATGGGAGCATAGCAGTAACAACTATCCCTAATTTCAAACATGTGGATCAAACGGTTCCTGAGTTATCGTTGACCATAGCCAAATGTTGACGGACGGACGGACGGACGAACGGACAGACGTACGACGGACGACGACCCATGGCAATAGCTCAGCTTGACAATGTCAAGGTGAGCTAAAAATGTATATATCCAGTGCAGTTAGCTGTGCAGTTAATTGTGCAGCAAGTTACACAGCTTTTTCATCCCCACCTCAGTAACGCTGTTCCAGCACCAATGTCCAGCACGCTGGTGTGGCCCTGAGCAACGGCTGTCACGATAGCATTCTTGAATGCTGTGTTTCTCCATTGGTCATTCAGCATTCTAAAGTGCCACCTCTCCACCAGGTGACTGCACAGGTTCTGAAGGGTTTCCTTGGCAGCGACATGGTGGCGATTGATGTAGATAGCCTTCTGGAGGTGAAGAGCCGCTTCGCCGAAAAACCCTAGACTTATATTTCAACAGAAAAACATAAAGTAACCTTTCAGATAAAGCTGGGGGTCAAACCCTATATCTTCATGCATAATACATAAACATAAATGTGTATATATCACTAGTAAATAATTTTAAAGATTATACACATATGTGCTGCTCAGACTATATGCTTCAGTTTGCATACTTTTTATACTCAGGAACAGATTCTACACAACCTTCCACTGCAGGATAGCATAATTTAGATATGCCACTGAGGCTTGGCACATTTCAACACAGCTACAAACAGATTTTTATCCCTATCATAGCTTTTATTATATCAATCTAACTGATCCAGAGAGTTCCAAGAGTTACTAAAATGCCACTTGGAAGAATTTGGAAAAAGTGCAATTTATTCAACATACTGATAAAGCTGGAGGGCCATGGTATAGTAGACATCTTCACATTCCGGATAGATTTCTACTGCCTGTTCAAAGGCCTTGAACATGTCATCATATCTCTCTGCTTGCGCAAGCTGATTAGTCCATGTCTGCAGACACCAGACAAACTCATCCTAAAGTAAATACAAGGTAAATCCTGTATCACTTTGTGTATAAGATTATCTCTAGTATGGCTGGAAATAGTGATGCTGATTTTTATGATAAAATAATGCTATTATGGGTTAGTTAATGCACCACAGGTTTACAATCTGTACTCCTAAGAATATTGGGGGGTAGACCTATGTGTTATAATAGATACAGATTTTACCTTTATTCAAATAACAGTTGGTTAATGGTAGGCAATCTAGCGACTTTGGGTAGACAGGGGAAACGTCCGACATCTCGAGTGTATGCATAATAAATTTGTGAGTATCTAGGATAAGTATAAGATTATTTTAGGGTAAGGTTACGTTAGTAGTATAGTTACGGATAGGGTGCCGATTATGATGATTTATGCAAAAGAGAGGCTCTGGTATGCGCCTCGAAGAAAGCTTAGTGGTCAAAGGGTTATTGCGCCCACCTTTCACTATGAATGTTACAGGTTCAAACCCAACCATGGCATTAAAATTTCTCAAGATGTAAAAACCTGGCTGTCAACATTGGGGACTGTCCATCCCTTGTGGCTTGGATGTAGTTACACTACATGCAGAAGCACTACCTTGCTGCTATATCCCATGTCGTGTACACTGACATAATGTAACATAACACAACATTACATAACATTAAGGAACTAAGGGTAGGATTGAGACGATGTACATACTGATACTCAACTGTATTCGTCACCTGGGTGCTTTTCTGTTCCCATTAATAGTTAAACCCACTAAATGTATACATTTGCAAATGCGCCCACACTCACGACAACGTTACACCGCAGGACACGTACTAGTCAATGGTCACTTGTGCTGAGAGGGTCTATGTCCCCCAGGGTACTGCCGGAACGTACCCTGGGTTTGGTCCGGTATACCGGAACGTACCCTGGTACTATCTAATATGCCGGATCTTACCTCGCCTACTCCACTAACGTGTCTAAGGAGTCGCCTACGCCTACTCCCTAACCATAACCATATCAGATAGTTACCTCAGGTACATATATGTCACCTACGCCTACGCCTACTCCCTAACCCTAACCATATCAGATAGTTACCAGAGTACGTTCCGGTTTACCGGACCGTATCCAGGGTACGTTCCGGCAGTACCCTGGGGGACATAGACCCTATGACTATGAGTATGAGCGTCACTTGTGGCTAATTATTCATCTGGGCTGATTTATCAGACTTTTATTTACAACTACAACTACAAGACTGTTTACAAATTACATTAAGCTATATCGTAAATCTTGAGTTGAGTATCTGTTGTTTGTAGTACTACCACTAGGAGTAGTATTACCTAGTACTAATAGTACCTTTACTTCGTGTTTCTGCGAGTCAGGAGATAATTGCAACACGACAAGGTAATGGGCAAATCCTCTTCCATAATTTCCTTTCTCTATATAATGATGTGCACTCACACGCGATTTACTAACGACCTTTCTCCAGTTATTCATTGAGGTAGGCCCTATATAATAATAATGAACGCGGGAAATACAAAACTACGAAATTAATATTGTGTACTGAAACATTCAAATGGGCGCGGCCATGTTGAAATTATACCTCTTACAAGTTTCCTACCTCTCCCGTGTTTTGTTTGCGTAGACTGGTACCCGGTCCCACCTCTCGGCTTAGGGTGTAATCGAGTAATCGCGTAATAACCACCCATCGAGTAATCGAGGTGGGAGCGAGTACCAGTCTAATGTTTGCGGCGCATCCATGCGACGTTTGGCGTGATTTCGGTAGCCATATTGAAGCGGTAGAAGATACATGTAGTCGTAAAGTCTGCATGTCTAAAGTACCATGCCAGATTATTGCTGTGCGTATAACTGTAGGAACTGTAGGTCGAAAGCGACAAAGGCAGCAAAGATTACTTTTCATAAGTAAGAAAACGTTTTGGCTGAACTATAGGCCTACCTTATTATGTCAATTGTTTACGAATTTCGATCAATCCTCGATCACTATTTTAGTATTTAGCTGAACTATTTTCCGAAGTAGACACTGCACCAAAGACCCGGCCCAAGGATAGAGAACATGGGTCCCAATAAAACCAATGTGAATGTGCATAACCCTAACCCTAATCCTAACCCTAGTCCTAACCCTAATCCTAACCCTAACCATAACCCTAACCTATTATATTGATATAATTATATAGTAATATATAATAATAATATAGGGGATAGTATAAGTAAGTAATATAGCATAATAGCATATAAGTTTATAAGCAGGAGATTCAAATATTTTATGTTACACTTATTCTTATCATTTGGAGTTTTTGACAATGGGTGGTTTGGGAACAATTGTTATGTTCAAAACATGAACGGCAAACTACGGAAAATTGCACAGACTCCTTTGTAATAGTCATCTATGATTACTCGTCCGCTATATGCAAGCACACCCGATGAGACCGGGATACTAGAGAACGTTGGATGAAAGAGACGTGTTGACCGAGTGCGAGGGCAGATCTTGCACGGCGTTCCGCGGCAAGGCTCAAGCGACCGGCAGGAACGACCCCTCCTAGACAGTATGCAGCGCTGGCAGCTATGAGATCGTGGCGCGAATGCTTAGAGCGGCGCACGTATCATAGCTGCCAGGAACAGTCACAATTTAGTGGCGGGACAAGAGGGCAGACATTTGGAGCGTGCAAGTGTTACTTGTTATAAAATAATGTGTCTGTTCGTACCGAGCTGTGTCACGCGAAATACAGAGCTGTAACGAAATTTTCGCGTTCGGAAACCCTGCCCAGTCATGGAATGGCTTTGCAAGGACAGAAGGTTATATAACGTGGGACTCACTCCACTCGATTAGCCCATCGATTGACTAAGGGCTTAGCTGAGAGGTGGAAGCGAGTGGCCAGTCTAATGGGGCTTAGGCGGTGCGGCAGGCGAGCACTGCTTTCAAACGCCGTACGAGCCTCGGGCCATTGGAAGTTGCAAAAACGTTTTGGCAGGCGTTGCGGCGGGCAAGATATGAGGTCACGAAGAGCGCGGGTAGGATGTTTCTAGATCTGACAGCATATTCCATTATGGGCAAGGTTCGGAATGACGAGAATTGTGTCAGTCTTTGTGTGATTTCGCATGACAGCAGTCGGTTACGAAAACAGAGACAGGTTATGTTTTTATAACAAGTGAACATGTTGTTGAAGGAGAAAAAAGATGGAGCTGTTGTGATGTGTATCGTGCGTGAAACTGTCAATGAAGCGAGCGTCGAGCAATTTTGGGCAGCCGCTTCGCTACTGCTATTATATTAGTGTAAGCGTGCACAGTCGCGCCGCACAGCATGGCACGACAGCGTATGTTGGACGTGATTTCGACGATTTAGCAGGAACTGTCGGCAATAATACTAATAGGTATAGAGAGTAGCTATGCTATGAAACATGAGATGTTATGTAAGTAAATATAGATTTGATTTAGTTAGCATATATTTTATTATATCTGTAAGGAGTAGCTAGTAACACTAAAAGGAGTGCGTCATTATTAGTAACTTACTAGTACGGAACACAGGTTTGTTCATTATTACTCCTGGTTTAACTAGTACTACTACTAGTATAGTAGTCTGGTACTTAGTAGTACTATAGTAGTAGTAGTAGCTTACAGTAATTACTGTAACCATGTACTAATGTAGTATAGAAGTATTTCGTAGGTGTGGATACAATTCGTCGCTCGCATTGGGGGTCGTTTATAGATATCATATATAGGTGCTGTGGAAATCACGAGCTTTGGTTTATTGGGGACCATGACCATGTTCTCTATGCCTTGGGCGTCCGAGTCGGAGCGATTCCGGAATTTCACGTGATTCTTACGGAACATTACAGTTTAAGCTTCCCACTGTTCAAGTTTAGGCACTTCTGACTACCGATGTTGAAATCTTTACTTAGTTTGATGAAGGAGTGTAACTATGCAGAGATACAATTAGCATGATAGAGTGACAATGAACTGAACTGTAAACTGGATTTTTAGAATAGCGAAAACATGTTGTAAATTGTTCCTATAATATCGATCATATAACTCAGCGAGTCAACGCTAGCATGACGCTATGTATTGTTACAATGTGAACAAAAGTCAAAGTCGGTTTTTTACAGCAAACTGACAAGCGGCGGCCAAGTGGCCAAATAGTTTTATCGAGCATTTCAAAGGAAGTCTCAAGACATGGTGAGTGAAATCATCGTGCAATCTGCAGAAACTGCTGAACTAAACGAGAATGAGGCGGCTTTGGCGATACGCAGAGACCGCGTTGAGACGTAAATTAGATAGTGCAGGCGAGTTGTGAAAGCGTGCCGCAGGGCGGCGTTGGCGGCGCTTCGCGCGATATCCGGCTGGCAGATCGTCTAGAAAAACGATCTTTGGGCTTGTTTAAAGGTAGAAATAGTTTATCGCGTGTTAGGAAGCGATGTTATTTCGCTGGACGTGTCAGGAGCTCGACGCTGCGACGCTTGATTTGACACTTAGGATAGCACGAATACAGCATTACAAGCGCTTCAATCTTTGTTTACTCACTTCAGACAATGTTCCTTGTTATAAAAAATACTGTTCTGTTAGTAAGCGAGCTGTGTCACGACGAATCACAAAGACTAAAGAATTCTCGCGTTCGCGAACGTTGCCAGTAATTGGAAATAGCTGTCAGAATCAAGGAAACTACGGGCTCTTAACGTTGACCTCATTCTTCTTGCGCCGGAATGCTGGGACGTTTGCAAGTTCAATGCGAGGACTTGTATGGGAGTTGGAAAGCAGTGTGCCGCTGCGCGCTGCCTAATCGCCATAGACAGGCCTCGCTCAGCACTCTCGGCTATCTTAGTCACTCGATGGGTAATCGGGTGGGAGGGTCCAGCTATATACTTTGTCCTTTGCAGGGGCCATTTCCAGTACTGGCAGATTCGTGACCGCGAGAATTTCAGTCAGTGTTTCTGTGATTTAAGGGTGAAACCGTTCGGCTACGACAGAGACATTATGTTTTAATAACAAGTGAACCTGTTCACGTCCGCATAATGTCTGCGGTCTGTGTCCCCCTAAAATTGCGGACTGTTTTTCGCTGGCGCTATGGGATCGTGCGCGCGGCCTATGCATTCGGCGCAGATCATAGTGCTGGCTGGCATACGGCCAGGGGTCAAAATTAGCCGGCAGCATAGCCGGACTAGTAATATGTTTGGAAGGGCTAGTTTAAAGGCCAGGCTGGCTTGCCAGTCGAGCAAGTAAACCAATCTCAGACAGATTTCGTAATCCGTCCGATTTCGGATATATCAAGTGTATGATTCATGTAATATTAATTGCGGTTTGTACTCATTCAATTCAGTCAAATACCTCAGAAAGCATCTTGGAGCATTCGTGAGATCTAACAATTTCGCTGCGGCACCACTAATCGACATCTATGCCTTTAGGGTTAGTTGATAAACCAGAAGGGCTAGTAAAACCTACCTTACTAGCCTTGGGCTAAATGCATATTGTCTTATTTCTAACCGCCTGATACTGTCGTATGGACGTTCCAGCGAGTCGATGGTCGCTTGCCGCGGAACTGTGCGCGAAGATTGGGCTCAGCGGCTTTCGGTCACACTCCTTTCGGGCAAACGCTTCTCTAGTATCCCGTCTCATGCTGGATCTGGAGTCCATCACAGCCTGTTGTGACATCTCTTCGGACACTGCGGCACAAGATGGTTTCCCGCATTGCCATCCGCTTTGGCGTTGGGATTTCCCGGCTTACATTGCATATATTTTTTTTTTATTTTATTTTTTTGTTGTTGTTGTTTTTCACGTATCGCATCTTTTGGAAAATCTTATAAAAATGCAATAATGACTCTCAAATGATGGTTACAATCGGTAGCAAAAACATGACACAGTTTTCATCAGTTAATGTTACAGAGCATGATGATTGTTTAGAACTCAGTGGGTTCGTTGTCGCACGTGACGTATCACTCTCGGAGCTCTATACAGTTTTTATAGATTTCGCAATAAATGGAAGTGAAAAGCAACAAAAATAAAAAAAATAAATAATAATTAAAAAAAATTGTTAAAGTAAAATATTAATTATTAAATATTGTCAGATCATTGCTTACGATGCTTTTAGCGGCTGTTGCAGCGCCACATCGTGTTTTACGATACGCACAACATTTTCACAGGCAGTTAATGTTATGTAGCCAGTGGGTTGTTTAGACAGGGGGTTCGATGTCATAGCACGTGACGTTCACACTTCGTACTCTATAGGCAAGCAATTAATGTTAGGAACACTAATATGCAAATCGTCCAGGTTTTTTGGATTTTTCCTAGTGAGAAACATCTCATAAGGTAGAATTTGATGATACGTTTCAGGGCGCTGTAGGCGAGGGGGGGTTCAGGGTTGCGAAGAACCGCCCCCGGCGCAACACAAAATTTTTTTTTTTTTTTAAATTTGCAAGAATGTTCAGCTCAGGTCGTCCTTTTAGTGTAATAATTGCAAATCTCCATCGTGCGGAGGGTGAATAGTGAACACCGCTGCCCACACCCTCTCCCCGCTGGTCGCTTAGCTCCCGCCTTGGTACGCTTCGCGCGACAGACCAGGGGCGTGTCAAGGGGGGGAGGGGGTCCAGGAGTCCGGACCCCCCTTGCTCATATTGCCAGCAAACGCTCTGAGAGGGTGCTATTAAAAATAAATTACTGCCCCAGACGCCCGCTTCGCGTGCTCGCAAACTTTGGTTACAGTTAGAACGCGCCCCCCCCTGGTAACAATCTGTAGCACTGCCCTCGGGCAATTTGCAAGCATTGAAGAAAGAAACCCAATATAAGCTGGCTACGGCGCTCCCGTTTAGTCCCGTTAGTTGTACTTTTAATGTAAAAAAACCCAGCAAAATTTACAGAAATTTTACCAATAGAAAAATCGTGAGTACGCGTCAGTAATTTAAAAAAAAGAAAAAGAAAAATATAGTCAATAAATAGCATAATTTTTTTTGATTGCGATGTTTTGAGGTTTCTTCTATCGTGATGTGGTACTTGACAGTGTATGTATTGACGACATCAGTTCGCTGAAAGTCAGTACGTGTAGGTAGTCAGGGTAACAGCGACATATCGTACAGTACCCCGATGTACTTTCGGCGATATATCGATACCGTAACCAGGTTCGAGGGTACCTCCGATAGTACCTGGGGAACATAGACCCTATGAGCTTACTTATACCTAGTATATTATTTCTAATGGTTAGATCGTTCGCCTTCAGTGCGTCAAGAGCCAATATATAGTAAAAGGTATATATAGGGTCTTTGCTTCAAGATAGAGAACATGGTCCCAATAAAACAATATGCTCATTTACCATCAATATAAATATAAT